CCATCTGCAAAAGTGCAACAGTTTGTTAGGCCTAGGCAAAACGTTGAACTTTTCATGGGACGAGACCATGCAACCTCTAATTTAGGTCAACCTAAATTGAGTTAAAATCGTCTGTTGGGTCAGACGTCGAACTTAAGAAGTTCAGAGTTTTTGTTTTGCTTATTAACCCTGAAGCTTGCCGCGAAGACGTATTTGCTTTGACACAGGCCTATTGAAAGAGATACTGAGGGACTGGCCTGGCTGATGGACCCCTGATTTCAATAGCATTCAGGCCGAGCACTCATATTTAAGCACCTATCTAAGCTCGCATTTTGTCTATAAACGGTTTGAGCGCACTTATGATTTAAATTTTTGTTTTTTATGTGTAGTTTTTTTCTTCTTTCATTGATAACCGTTATAAAAAAGCATTATTGCTCCTTCTGTTTAATTCCCTGGGGAGTAATTGATCTGTAAAAAGAGATACCTTGTTATGGTCAATTGACAGCTGTCAAAATAGGTTATCCGCTGATCAGTGTCACATGACTGTATCGCAGGCTTAGGTATAGAACTCATTGACGTGACGAGTTTTTTTAAAGTTTTCTACTGACCATTTATGGTATTGAAGTGATCGTAGGCTCAGAAAAATTTACTTCAGAAAGACATATCATAAAGTACGTGGATGAAGAATTCATTTGATACCAAACAACAGCAGACTATTACTGTTTACAAAATTTTTGTTCGTGTAGATATTTCACTCAATTTTTCACTTCATTTTTGCGTATATTTGCCACCTTAAAAGTTCACACGAGAGCTTCGCTTTTGGCTTTGGCTAAATCTATTTATAAAATGACCCGTACGTATTGGTACTCAATAATAAAAGTAATTGGTCTGTTAACAGCGAGACCCTGTGACTCGAGTCCATGCTTAAATGGAGGTACGTGTAGGAACCTACCACGTGACAAATACAGTTGTCAATGCAGACCAGACTGGACGGGCGCAAGATGTGGAGGTAGGTAAGGGGGAAGGGAAAGTTACATATAATAATACAAAGAACTGCTGTTTAGAAGACTTTTTACCATTTGCCCATCTCCCAAAACACACCTTCTATAGGAACTCTAATGAGCTTTCTTTAACTCTACAGTTCCTCACGAAGATAACTTTCAGTTCAACTTTCCCAACAAAGTTGTCGACGACTACGTCAGGCTCGATGTGTCCTCTTCGGCTTCAGATGTCACTGCTTTTACCGTCTGTATGTGGATAAAAGTTGGCGATCAGTCGGATGACGGGACTTTGTTTAGTTACGCCACCGAAGATCAAGACAATGAACTCCTAATAACCGACTACTCAAGATTCAAGATTCTGATTGGTGGCAGCAAAGTGTAGGTTTCAGGGAATCATTAGCATGAGGTCTAGAAAGAGAGCCCTGTGCTCGCATTCCCGCTCGTTATTCACGAGAGTCCCGCATTCCCACTCCTTTTTCACGAGCGTCCCGCATTCCCCACTCCTAGTTCACGAGAGTCCAGCATTTCCACTCCTTTTTCACGAGAGTCCCGCATTCCCACTCCTTTTTCACGAGCGTCCCGCATTCCCCACTCCTAGTTCACGAGAGTCCCGCATTTCCACTCCTTTTTCACGAGAGTCCCGCATTCCCACTCCTTTTTCACGAGCGTCCCGCATTCCCCACTCCTAGTTC